GGTCCCCTGGGAAACGGGGTCAAAATGACCTCTTACCTCATCTGATCTGGCAACAGCTCTCCAGTCAATTATTGGTAATAGCCCTTTCAAATAAGCCAATCAGAATAGTCAAAGAACAACCCCCTTGCTTCTGTGGCCCCTTTAAAAGTAGACTGTACCCGCTATTCGAGGTCCCTCGGCTTCCCGAATGCTGGGGGACCCTGTCATGACAGAATTAATAAAATCCTCATGCTTTTGCATCGGCTGTAGTGTGTGAGATGGTCTCTGGGGGCGACTCCTTCTCGGTGTTTGGACGCTAGAGTCCAACAAGGCCATATGTGAGTCTAGTGTTTGTATCTGATTCCTTCTCAGCCCAGCCTTGCTTCTTTGGAATGTTCCACTGATGAAGAAGAGCCAGTTTAATCCCATTTTGAGCTGTGTTTATTCAAAGGAATAAAAAGTCCTTGGAGAAATGATTAGGAAGACCAGACTAAGTTCAGATATAGGAAGTTCAGATATATGCCTGAGATATTCTGTATAGTCCAGACTGGCCTGGAAATCACAGAGATCTGCCTACCTCTGCCTCCCTCCCGAGTGCTGGGACTAAAGGTATGATCACCATGCCTGCTCTTGACTTGTCATTTAAATCACAGGCATCTGTGTCCTGATGCGTATTTACCTCAAATGAGTGGTGCTCATAGCTCTCCTCTGTTTTGTTTTTTAAATTACATTTTCTTATCTTTCTTTCCGTTTTTTGTTTTTCAAGACCAAGGTTTCTCTCCTGGAACTCACTCTGTAGATCAGGCTAGCCTCAAACTCAGAGCTCCGCCTGCCTCTGTCTCCTGAGTGCTGGGATTAAAGGCGTGCACCACCACTGCCCACCTTAATCACATTCTGTGGTATGGAGGGTGTTGAACATAGACGCAAATAGATACTGAGCCTCAAAGAGCTTCAAAAATCATCCATCTTAGCTCATCTTATTCAGACATGTTTAGTCTAGACCATTTGAAAGCCACAATCACAATATCTAAAGGCCCACACTACAGGCAAATGGAGATCTTGAGGGAATAGCGAAGATCTACTGGTCCCTGCGTAGGACACCTCTCAGGGCTGCAGAGTCCTGCCACACCACCCTGTAACTGGGGAACCCTAGATTCTGACATCCCCACCTACAGGGACTCTTGTCAGCCGCAAAAATTCAAAGAGACCGAAGTTCACGTCCCAGCTTTAGACTTATTATTTTGTGTAACTTATTCTTGCTTAACTTGATTCTTGTTTGCACAGTGGGAACGGTCACAGATCTACACACCACCTCAGTGATGTGTAGACAATAAAAAGTGATGGACCTACCAGAGTCCCAGGCGCTCACTTAATTGCTGCTTAGAATGGATTTGCTTCAGGGTTTTGTATTGTTTCCTCTATGAAGCGTTTTATTTTCACCTCATATTTTTAGTATTTTCTCCCATTAATTCCAAGGGCAGCTCCTGGGGTGTGGCCTTTCTCTTATTGTAATTTCTTGGAGATCCAGATGAAATTGTGTCCCCAGAGATGTCTGTGAGATAATGCCACTGGGTATAGTCCCATGCTCACTCTGCTGGGGTCTGTGGGCTTGGCCTTGTCTTCTCTTCCTCCAGCCCTGTGGAGCCAGGGACATGGAGTGTTGCACAGAGGACACGGCTTTAGGGGTGGAGTGATGAGCAGGGATTTCAAATCCTCAATAAAACATGTATACATACCTACCTCTGTGCCCCGGGTCCCTGATGGTGTTCTAGATGCTCGGGTCCCTTGTCCCCATGTGTATTTGTCTCTCTGAAGCTGTCCTTCCCACCAGGTTCCTGAGCCCTCCCTCCCCCAGCTCCCAGTCTCCACACCGACATGGGTTCCCATTCCCTTTCTTCAGCGTCCTCCTCCTCCCAACCAGCAGTCCTCTGGCTCCAGCCTTGGGAGGCAGGGACACTGGGTGGCACCCTCCCTGCTGCCAAAGCTCAATCTTCAAATGGGAAAAGACCGTGACTGTGAATCTATTGATGTTCTCTGTAACCAGTGGGGTAACAAGCCGGCTCAGAAGAAATTTCTACATAACTGTGAAGAGGAGGGGGAGAAAGGAGAGGAAGGGAAAGGCAGGGAGTGTGTGAAAAAGGCTGAAGTATGGCCAGGTTAGATACAAAGTTGATAATGTCCACAGGACACAAAGTTGCAAAATTTCCCTGCCAAACAAAAATTATTTACCTTTTCCAACCAGCTTCATTATCATTTTATCAGTTTTTTTTTTTAACCAGTCAGTTTCTAACATCAGAGAGCAGCTGCCCCATTCACTGGAAATAGTATTATCAGAGACTCTTGGGCATTGTTATTGACTTAACACTCTATAGCAGCATTATCCAATATAAATACAATGCAGGCCACATGTAAGATTTTCTAGTTACAACTTCTTTAAAAAAGAATAGGTAAAATTAATGATGAATATATGTACATATATATACACATATATTCTTTAATCCAATGTATCTAAACTATTATTGTTTCAATGTGATCAAAAATGACTGAGATTTGTTTTGGGGGAAGTGAAGTTCATGTAGCTCAGGCTAGCCTTAAACTCACTGTGTGGCTGAGGCTAGCCTTGAGCTCCTGATCTTTCTGCCTGTACCCACTGAGTGCTGAGATTACTGGTATGCACTGCCATACCCAGCTAACTCCTGAGATTTTTTTTTGTGTGGGGGGGGTTGCTTTTTGGAAGCAGGATTTCTCTGTATAACCCTGGCGGTCCTAGAACTCATTTTGTAGACCAGACTGGCCTCGAACTCACTGATATCTGCCTGCTCCTGCCCCCCAAATGCTGGGATTAAAAGTGTGTACCATTTTTAGGGGGGGTGAGTTATTTTATCATCTTTTCTTCCGAAGTGTTTGAAATCCAATGTGTATTTCATACTTGCAGTACGTCTCAGATTGAGACTCACCACATTCCACGAGGTTCAGTGCTATAGAGAGGACTTCAGAGACCACAGATGTTGGGCCCCAACAAAGCTGTTTAGATTCCGCAGGTCTAGCTATGGCAGAGCCTGAGCTTCTGCACTCCTACCTAGTTTCCTTGCAATGTTGCAGGTCTGGATGCTTTCTGAAAGCCGTGGTTACGCTCACACCCCTCCAGCTAACAGTGCACAGAGTGGCACTTGGTCGTGGTACCCACCTCTCATCCACATCCCATCCACATCCCAGGAACCCTTCCTCCCAGCTCTACAGGGTTGGGATTTGGGTACCATGAGCAAGTGTGGATACTAAGAGAGTACGTTTTGGGTCATACTACCACCACCATGCTGGCCATATCATCCATGGTATTCAGGAGTTAACATCAGTCCTCTCAGTACGGGGACTGTGGCCCAATCTGAGATGTTTCCCTCCTTCTAGCCCCTGCTAAAGCATGCTGTGTGCTGAAAATTAATGAACCAGCCTTTACTCTGCCTAGGGAGCTGATACACTACCCATCTGAGTGTGGGGCATGTATGAGGACTATGTATGAGGCTCTAGGGCATCTATTTCATACAATGTCTTAACAGGTGAGAACTGTGTATAAACAGCATATAGGTAGCTACAATATGTACTATTTCAGAATATCTTCCTAATTTTAGACCCTTACGTGCTGTTTATTGTAAGAAACAGCATTGTAAAAATGCCTTCCAAACAACTAAGTAAATTGGGAACACTAACTAGAGGAGTGAGCCCACTAGATGCCTAGGAAGCCATGCTACATGCCAAGATCCTCCATGGACCTAGCCCTTGCCCTCTACTTGTAGGGCATGCCCAAAGATGCTCACAGAGTCTCACAGGGCAAAGAAACACATTATAGTATTTGCATTTCCAGTGGCTAGAGTTTTGTCCATGCTTCCTGCCAGCTATTTGGAAGACTGGAGGACTATTAGCCTCTTCACAGCAGGTATTTGTTGTTGTTTCTTGCTTACCAGTTATATAAGGGAAAAAAAGAGCTGGGTGGTGGTGGCGCACACCTTTAATCCCAGCACTTGGGAGACAGAGGCAAGTGGATCTCTGCAAGTTTGAGGCCAGCCTGGTCTACAAAAGAATTCCAGGACAGCCAGGGCTACACAGAGAAAACCTGTCTCAAAAACAAAGAAGCTAATCTGCATATCTGCATGGGGTATGTGTATATGGTATGTGTTCCCTGTTATCAGGTTTTCTGTGTATAATGAATATAAAATCTGTGGAAGAGGAATCTGCTGAGGGGGATGTCATTCTCAGTGACAGTTTTTAAAATCATATGCAACACAAGTAGGTGCATTGTTTTCTTTTTTCCTTTCTTTTTTCTTTTTCTTTTCTTTTCTTTTTTTTTTCTTTTTTTTTTTTTTTTTTTTTTTTTTTTTTTTTTTTTTTTTTTTTTTTTTTTTTTTTTTCTTTTTTTTTTTTTTTTTTGATTTTCGAGACAGGGTTTCTCGTAGCTTTTGGTTCCTGTCCTGGAGCTAGCTCTTGTAGACCAGGCTGACCTTGAACTCACAGAGATCCGCCTGCCTCTGCCTCCCAAGTGCTGGGATTACAGGCGTGTGCCACCACCGCCCGGCTGGTGTATTATTTTCTACACAGATATAATACGTATGGTGGGCACAGACTATGCCAGATATACATGGTAGAAGGTTTACATTCAGTATTGGGCATATGTAAGTATAACTACATGTGGAATATACATAGTATGTGTGATAGGTACACACACATATACTGTAGAATTTATGATTGGCACCTTCTGTGATGGATATACACTGCGCAGGTGTATAAAATACATACACTCTGTAGACAAATAAGCGGTGTGTGCATTTGTGTAATAAGGTGGTCCTGGTGATTGGTCCATCTCAGGCACCCTGTGTGCACACAGCTTGAGATAGGAGTATGGAGTGTGCACCTGTGTGTAAGCAAACAAGGAGTGTCACTGGGCTAGGAGGATGCATGGCAGGGAGCCATGATCTTCATTTGTTTACAGAACCCCCAGACCTTTGAGCCTCCAAACCTCACTGTTTCAGGTTCTTCCTCAAATTCTTTCTCAAATGCAACCAGAACTGCTTGAAGAATGCAGGGAATCCCCGAGACATGCGCCGCTTCCAGGTAGGCTTGGGAAAAGCCCTCTCACCCCATGCAAATCTACCCTTTCCTGATAGGTGAAGGGAAAGCTGTGACCCTGCCAGAGCAGATCTCTGCCTAGCCCTGAGCCTCAGGGTCTGGTGCCTGCTGGGGGTGGGGCAGCTCCATCTCAACTTATGCTGGCTGCCAAGGGAGGCTTCATTAGAGTCCCACTTAAGAAGATGCTAATTGTGACATTTTTACATGATTAACGACCCAGGTAATTTGCATAGTGTGAAGCTGAGAACAGCTGCCCTCAGCACCTCCCCAACCTGCACACCCCTCCCAAAGCAGGGGGTAGGGAGAAGGCAGCACCGATTTCCTGCCCAGAATAAAGTGGGGGCTTCTGTTGATGGGTTCTGTAACTGATTTGAGCCCCAACTTTAGGAAGGCATTTCTGTCTCCAAACTTGAATGATACTGAATAGTGTTCCCGGGTGTGCAAAAATCAACGGACGGTTCTCTCTGCCTGAGGAGCTACAACTTTTTCAGGGCTTTTGATTTTTGTAGCTCCTGAGAGGTCAGTTCATCTCGGGGGGTGTTACCTGGTTCGGCTGGATTCAACTCTACCAGCACAGACCCCACCCAACTGAACTTCCCCTCACCTAAGGACACTCTGAATTCCAGTCACCCACCTCAAGGTGCTAGTTCTCCCTAATAGGGCCCCAGCCAGACTGTCTTCTCTGTCCACACAGGTGGTGGTGTCCACGACAGTGAGTGTGGACGGACACGTGCTGGCCGTGTCTGACAACATGTTTGTGCACAACAACTCCAAACATGGCCGCAGGGCCCGGCGCCTGGATCCTTCTGAAGGTCAGGACTCCCGGCCCAGCCCTGGCCAACCTCAGTCTCCATCTTGGTGCAGCCCCTTGACCTGGGTCCTCTCCTACCTCCCAGCTGCCACCCCCTGCATCAAGGCCATCAGCCCCGGGGAGGGCTGGACCACGGGAGGCGCCACTGTCATTATCATCGGAGACAACTTCTTCGACGGGTTGCAGGTCGTGTTTGGCAGCGTGCTCCTGTGGAGCGAGGTGGGCCAACCCCTGCCGGTCTCCCTCTGGTCTCCCTCGAGTCTCAGGGCTAGGCCCTCCCCACAGGACTAGACCTGCAGGCCTCCCCTCTCCTCTCACAGCTCATCACTCCCCACGCCATCCGGGTGCAGACACCGCCACGACACATCCCTGGGGTGGTAGAAGTGACCCTCTCCTACAAGTCCAAGCAGTTTTGTAAAGGAGCCCCCGGTCGCTTTGTCTACACAGGTAAGGAATAAGGCAGCTGAAGCAGGGATTAAGATCACAGAGGGAACCCTCTGAGCTCAAAACCCAAACACAGTTGCAGGGGTGACAGAAATCTACGGGTGCACTGCATGCCCTAAGCAGCTGCTCCTCATCCCCCACACACCTTCGCCCACGCCTACTAAGTGATCTCTCAAAGTTATTTTTCCTCTTGGCCTATGTTTCTCTCCCTGAGTTTCTGGTACCTTGGAAGCAAATTCTGCCTCAAATGTTCTCCCCAAGGGATGTCTCTCCCTCCTAGCCATGTACTCTGGAGTTCAGAACCTCTTCGAGGGTTTTCTTTTTGTCTTCTTTCGTTTCGATTTTTTTTTTAACCTCTAAGGTGCTTCCAAATGGACTCACTACTCTCCCAATTTTTCCTGGGTATCTTGGGTCTTTCATACGTCCACACAGTGGTGTGTGAGCCCACAGACACATACACACCCTTGTACAATATCTCAGTGAACAGTTAGCACAAGGCTCAAGGGGATGCACTGAAAACTGGGTTCCATTTGACCACTGGTGGAAATCCTCATTCACTGCTATTTTTGCATCGGCCCCCCCTGCCCCCCCAAGCCACTGGCTTCTCCCCATACTCACTGAAGCTTGGGGGCTCAGGATACCCTCGGGTAGCAGGTATCCTGAACTGCAAACCCAGGATGGGTGGGAGGGTGGAGTTACAGAGTAGAGGACTTGACAGAGGAAAACCCACCCCTGGGAGTCTGTGCTGAAGTAGCTAAGCTATAACTACAGAGGAACAGGGAGGGAGACGTTGGTAGCAGAAGACTGGCTAGTGCCAAGCCCAGGAAATGCACACTTCATGCTTTGGGGAAAGGAGAGGAAACTGACTAAGTCTAGCATTGGAAGTGAAGAAAGAGCTTTGAGACCAGGGAGGAGTAAGGCCAGGGAGGAGTAAGGCGCTTAAGGGGAAGAGGGGGAAGAGTCAGGGGCGGAGCACTGTGCCCTCCTGAGAGCCCATGGTTTTGGCTCCTCCCTTTCCTGAGGTGCATGCAAACCTTGATAATTGCATGTTGCGGAGAAGCTGCCTGATCCATGATAAATAAAGATTGTTCAGGTTTTTTAAATGGCAAACTGATATGACCAAATGCAAAAATCCTGAGTATAGAAGTGTGTGTGTGTTGATGCCAAGCTTGGCACAGAGCCTGGCTCAGTAAATATTTGTTGCGTTAATTCTGACCAAATAAAATGAAGGAACTGAGATGACTCCCCTGACGTTCACTGATACTTGAGCGAGGGGTTTCTGGGCAACATGGAGCCGGACTTGGGGGAGGTAATTCTGTTCCAGGAGGGGTGTCTTCCAAACATTGCCATTCTCCGCAGCCCTAAATGAGCCTACCATTGACTACGGATTCCAGAGGCTACAAAAAGTCATTCCCAGACACCCAGGGGACCCTGAGAGGCTGCCTAAGGTACTCAGAGGAATGGGTCGGGAATAAGGATGTCCAGTGGGCGAGGGGATAAGGAAGACCCTCCAGGGCCCCGCTGCGCCCCAGGGGCTGCCCCTCGGTCCTTCTGTCTCCTCCCCTGCCCTAGGAAGTGCTGCTGAAACGGGCGGCTGATTTGGCGGAGGCCCTGTACGGAGTGCCCAGCAGTAACCAGGTATGGTGCCTCTGCCCGCCTCCCAGCACTAGGGCCCGGGGCTCTGACCCCGCGCCTGCCGCTGCCCCGGCCGTGCCCCCTTCTTGTCTTCGCAGGAGCTCCTCCTGAAGCGTGCGGCGGACGTGGCCGAGGCTCTGTACAGCGCCCCGCGCGCACCTGCACCCCTCGGACCCCTGGCCCCTAGCCACCCACACCCCGCCGTCGTGGGCATCAACGCCTTCAGCAGCCCCCTGGCCATCGCCGTCGGGGATGCCACCCCGGAGCCGGGTGCGTTTCTCCACCCCTGCCCTCAGTTGCGGTGCACCAGAAGAACCCAGCGCCGCTAGCTGGGCTAACCGCCACTCTCCCGCAGGCTATGCCCGCAGCTGCGGCAGCGCGTCGCCCCGGTTCGCGCCCAGCCCTGGCTCTCAGCAGAGCAGCTATGGCAGTGGCCTTGGAGCTGGTCTCGGCAGCTACGGTGCGCCGAGTGTCACTGGCCTCGGCGTGCCCGGGTCCCCTAGCTTCCTCAATGGCTCCACCGCAACCTCACCTTTCGCTAGTGAGTGTTCCCAGCCCACAGGAAGGGGGCGGGTCCAGCCTGGGAATGCTGAATAGACTCAGCCCTGCCTGCAGCCCATCCTGGGGTGAGGGCTTCTAGTTCCTGCCTTATGCGGGTGGACCTTGACCTAGCCATGGAGAGCCCTCAGTCCTCCTTTCATTCGCCCACTCCCTGATTTGGGGCCTTGCCTCACTCCTCGGGGAGCCCCGGGATCCTGGGGCCAAACTTCTTGCACCTTAAGCCCTCTTTGCTGACCCCAGTTGTACACATCGCTTCTAGCCCTCCCATGATTGTGGAGCCGCCCTTAATTAGGGGGACCTCTGCTGAAACCTGATGGACAGCAACCTTTTGGTCCTTCGCCGGGACTTCGGGAGGAGGCTGGCGGCCCCTGCTGGAAGCCTAAGGAAACTCTAGAGACTCGGGCTTCCAGCGCCCCGCAGCCCCGGGATGTGTGGCTCCGGGTTTCAGCAGCACTTCCTGGGGCAGGGGAGGAAACGGTGGACCGAGTGGCGGCCCCTAGGGGCTCGGCGGGGCCCTGGAGGAGCTTCCTCACCCCCTCACCCATAGGACACTTATTCCTGTCCCGTCCCTCTGAGTGCCTTGTCCCTCATGTTCTCCCAGATGGTTCAGGCAAAACGAGAATTCCTTGTCATCAGGACTGAATTCAGACTTGAGTGTTTTAGCCAGGAGCTGACAGACTTTCAACAGGTTGCACCTTTCAGTAAAACAAGATCAACAACACCCCCCAGCCCCACCTCAGATAGCTCTTGTATCTGAATATGTCTCTAGAAAAGCAGACAAAGTTCAGAAAGAACGTTATGATTTTGTAGGCCCAATCTGAATGGTAGTTGCTTGGCATCTTGGGTTAAGGTAGCTCTCTGATAGATGGATGGGCGGTGGATTTTTATGCCTTATCATTTCACACTGCCTGCTAGTCTCTTGCAATACCGATGGCTGCTTGGTGGGTACTTATAATCCACATGATGAGAGCACTAAGCTTGGGGGTTCTCTGTGTACCCTTTCTCACCAGCAAAAACTCCTCTACCAGTCACAATAGAGGTTGTCCCTTAGGGCCTGGGGCACTACTGAATCTGAGAAATAGTGACATCTGCCAAAGGAGGAGCTTTTGTGGCTCTACCTGCCGTTCCCACCCTTCTGCCTCTTCATTACCTAAAATAACTGTCTAGCCCCCTGCCTAGCTTTCCTTACCAGGGCTGCTGCTCTCACTGGCTACAAATCCAGCCTGGCACTCTCCTTTGACCTTGACTTAATTTGTGGAACCCAATGTCCCCCCCCCCAAACCAGAGTACACACAGGCTGTTTCCTGTGTCCCCCCCCCCCCAGGCCGGTCTCTCCTGGCGCCTAGCCAGCTTCTACTACTCCGCATCCCTTTCGTTCTAAGACCGTGACCTCCCAGCCTTCTGGTTTCCGTTGTATTGGACTCTCTCGCCCTTTTCCAGACACACAGCAGTGTGTCAGCAGTGAAAGGGGGCTGCCCCAGTGCACAGTCTCTCCGGGGTCACCCTAGTCAGCCAGACCAGAACTTCCAAAGTCACTCACCCTCAGCAGGGTCACTTGGGGCGCTACCTAGGCCTGTTCCCATCTCAGAAAGTGTTTACTCAGGCCCACATCCATTCCCCCTGAGTGTGGGGTGCTTTGTGACACACTTACATAAAGTGTCCTCACTGAGTTTGCCAGGATGCCCCTAAAATGTCGTCAGAATTGTCCTACTCAGAGGATCTAGGGCTGTCTTTGTAGAGCTCCTTAACTCTGCAAAATGTGGGTATTAGTTCTCTGGGCCTTGGCAGACACCACAAATATTCCTTTTTATATAACAGGTGTTAAGCACTCCGTAATGCCCAGGTCTTTACCAGGAAGCACTGAGCATTTTTCTCTAGGAGATGGTGACCGCAGGCTAAGGATGTTGAGAATAGGATACTATTGCAATCATTTTTATACCCACAGTCAGCGAATGGGTGTTCTGATGTCAAAGTAGCCTTCTCAGCCACAGATTTCTTCTAGGAAGTCTGTACCTGCTGTCCCTTGCCTGCTGGTTGGAGGAGATTAAAAATCCTACCTGCTGGTCTTTAGAAGATCAAAGCCGGGAATTGGTTCAGATGAAAACATAGAAGGTGGAACTGAGATGCGCTACACACAGGAGCCCTAGCAGATACAAGAGGCTCCCGGGGTCTAGGCTGGAGATGGCAGGGCCTTGAATTAAAGTGGAAGAAATAGTGCCCAGGGTTGGGGAGCAGAAAAGCAAAGTGCAGGGCACATTGCGTAGGAACATTCAGTAGAGATGAACTAGGGGCTTGTGTGAGCTGTCGTCCATGGTAGAGCAGCTTTAGACAGGAGGGTGCGTATAGGCTTCACAGACACCAAAACTTCATCCGTGTCTCTTTACTCCGGCTTTGATGTGACCCTTGACCTTTGAGCGTAGCCTTGGCAGTGCAGCCCCATAAACATTCCCTAGCGTTTCAGAGCTCCTGTGGTGTTCAGCAGGAATCCCACCTTTCCATCTCTTTCTTATCTCCCATCTTTGAGAGCACTGCCCACTACTTGTTTTTTGTTTCGTTTTCCCTGGGCCTGATCCTGTCATCTCCAGCCCTGAAAATGGTGCTCAGAACACCTGAAAAGGCCAGGGCTGGTCCAGCACCCAGCAGCTGCCATCTTACCTCTAGACATTATCTTGTCCTGGTCTTCTCAGGACCCCCATAGCCCCCAGGGAGGTCTGAGCCTGCAGCCTGGTCAACAACCCACACGGGACTCACTGCCCACGCGGCACCCCAACCCTGCTGCTCACTCTGGTGCTGTCTTCCTGTTGTGTCTCCCACTGCCTTCCTTGCTGCACCTGCCCCTTCCTCGCCCCGCAGTCATGCCCTCTAGCCCCCCGCTGGCGGCTGCCTCCTCCATGTCCCTCCCGGCCGCTGCCCCCACCACCAGCGTCTTCTCCTTCTCGCCTGTCAACATGATCTCCGCTGTCAAACAGAGGAGCGCCTTCGCCCCTGTGCTGCGCCCACCCAGCTCCCCATCGCAGGCCTGCCCCAGAGCCCACAGAGAAGGGCTTCCAGGTGAGCAATCAAGGCTGCCTCACAGTGGCCTGAGGGAAGGCCTGCTGCATCTGGTCATCACAGTGTCCCATGCAGGGCCCAGCAAGAGGTTCTGTGGGGGTCCAGGAAGGCCGTCTGAACTCCACTTCCTTGAACCTTGACCCTTAAAGCTAGCTGTGCCCTGGCCTTTGTCTAGACCCATTCAACTGGCCCCTTGGCCAAGGAGATTGAAATCCCAAGTGGAAAAAGTCCCTGTAGTCCAGCCCTGTTCAATAGAGCCTAGAACAAAGACCTGACCCTACGAGATGAAGGAAGCCATATAGGTTGCATGTCTTTCTCCTGTGTCCACCAGAGGGACTTACCATGTTGATGCTGGGTTATCTAATGAACAAGAGGGCACTGACCTTGAATAAGGGTTAGCCCAACTTCCCCTTTCCCCATGTACAGATTAGGAATTAAGAACAAGTTCCCCTCCTGTGTCCAGTAGTGAAAGGGACATTCTCTCGTTTTACTCACAGGCAGCAGATACTTTCAGCCCACAGAGCTTTCCCCACCCAAACAGTCACTGGAAGCTCAGCTGTGGGGAAGGAGGTAAAAGTAACAGAATGTGGGATAGAGCAAGTCTGAGTTGGGAGGGATAGCGGGGGTGGGGGGGCAGAGCTAGATAAGATTGTCATGCCCACAAGACTGGCAGGCGTTGATGATGATACAGGGATGTCTGGAAGGATCTCCTGGAACCCAAAGCAGAACTTAGCCCTGAGCTCAGCACCTGGCTTTGTCACCTACCCCATAGTCGGTGCTTAAAAAACAGGAGTTAGATTCTTAGGTGAATATGGAGTCAGAAGGCCCCCGTCAAGTGCAGAAGCCTCTCGAAGGTTTCATTGCAGTTTGAAGTGAGCTGACAGCGGCTGGGGTAGAACATGCCCTACAGGATAGTCTCCCAGATAGTAATGGTCATTCCTCAGGGGAGAATCCGTGTTTGTTAGTAAATGGTGATAGTCATCCAGTTTTCAGTAAACTGAACCACACAGTGAATCTTCTAAGAAAACAAATTTATTAGAGCACAAATTTTATTTTTTATTTATTTATTTTTGAGACAAGCCCTGGCTGGCCTCGAACTCACAGAGATCCACCTGTCTCTGCCTCCTGAGTGCTGGGATTAAAGGTATGCAGCACCATGTCAGGCACAAAATTTATCTTTAAAAAGAATGTTCATCTTGGGCATTAGTTCCTGAGAGTATCTTTGGGGTTTAGGAAGAGATACTCATGTCGTCTTCTAAATATGATATGATTTGCTGAGGCCAAAATAGTCAAGGAAGCCAAGCCTCTGTACTAGACCCATAGTCATCCTTCAGCCCCATGCAGGATGAACTTGGGGAACTGTAGACAGCACCCAGAAAGGCCTCTGAGCCCTAAGATTTTCTCTATGAGACTCTGGGGATACTGGAAGGAGTGTGAAGCACAAGAAGACAACTAAGGATGCCAAATACACACAGTAGTTAGGGAATCCACCTCATCACCAGGGAAACTGACTGTACTGGAGGGTGGTACAGAAACCCACGGTAGTCCAGAAAAACTAGCTGTAGTGGAGGATGGTGCAGCAACCCACCATGGTCTGGAAATTTTCTTCTGTGCTCTGCCCTACTCCGCAGATAGAACGAGTTCTTTCCCTCTGCAGACTGTTCCTCTGGACATCCAGACAGCTCTGAGGTGGTGGTTCAACTAATTCCAAACTTATATACAGGGGAAGAGGGCTAGAAGACTGGTTGGTGTGCCATCCACAGTATGAACTGCTGTTGAGAAAGGGCTTGCCCAAGCAGGGTTTGAAGAATTAATTCCTTTTCTAGGGGAGGAAGCCCCAGCAAGGTGTGTAGAGAGGGAAGCCAGGATATAGAAACCCATATGCAAGGCATTAGAAGATAAGTCATATAGATAAATGTAAAAAACTTAACTCATGAATGAGCTAATAGGGTGACTAAGTGACTTAAAGAATACATGAGGGCCGGGCGGTGGTGGCGCCCGCCTTTAATCCCAGCACTCAGGAGGCAGAGGCAGGAGGATCTCTGTGAGTTCGAGGTCAGCCTGGTCCACAAGAGCTAGTTCCAGGACAGGCTCCAAAGCCACAGAGAAACCCTGTCTCGAAAAACCAAAA